AGTGAGGGCCTGTGCGGTACCTTCAGGCTGAAACCTGTCTGATTTTCCCCCTGTGCCTGCCAATCTCTTTTGGAATCAAGGAGACGCCTCTTGAGCACAACCCCACGGCACCCTCTGTTCCTTTAGATATCCCGTAATTACTCAGTGCCACACGGGTTCCTGAAGATCCCTGGTTAACAGCCTCGGCCACCTGTTTGCTAGCCTCTCCCACAGTTAGCTCTTGCTTTATGCACAGTGCCTTGGTCCTGGATTTCCCTGGAGATTTGCAATGTCCTTCAGCTCACCTCTGCTGGAATCTCCCTTGCAGTTAGTGAGCTTTCCCCCACCCCTGCTGCTTGGCCAGGTCTCTCCCAGGCAGAAGCCTTTCTGTTGTGCTCCAGTGAAGCCTGATACCACCAAAAGTCGCAAAAGCTGCCTTCATACTTCCATTGCTGCATTCGCATTGACTCCACCTTCCCTCTCCTCTCCTCACTCTTACAGTTAACTGAGCTGGGCTAGCAGTGTGTCTTCAGTTACGTGTGTTCCAAGTTCTTGAAAGTTTATATCAATGCTGACTGTCATTAATACTGAGATATTTTTCTGTGTTTTGTTGTAGGAAATGAACAGAATGGGCTGGACTTTAACAGGCAGGTAAGACACTCCCTGGGTTACCAGGTATTCTCCTGCTTTCTTGAATTACTGTTTTCTAATTGCTCATCTTGCTGAGTCCCAGGCAGCTAAGAGATAAAAACTGTTAGGTCAGAAGCTACCATTAAACAGACCACATAAGTTCTTCCCAGTTCCCCTTGTGGGATAGAATGACAGATTAAACTTCTGGTTTCCAGGCCTTCCTATTTCATAGAAGTTCAGATAATTACAGAGTTTCTTTAAATGACCGTTTGCTTGAGGCTTTCTCTGGCTTTTTATTTTTTCTTTTTTTCCATTGTCATTTAGAAACAAAAGGGACCTCAGTTACACTGGCAAATGTGCAAAGCCTGCCTCAAAGCCCCATGCATTTCTGCTGCTCGTGGCATGGAAAGCACTGTGGTGTGTGAGTCTGAGAGCAGGGGCTGACTCACGGGAGCATCAGCAGGGACTGAAGATGAGATGGTTTGAGGTCTTGGAGCGTATAGGTCAAGACCAGGGCTGCCAAGAATGCCAGATTGCTCTTTGCGAGATGGGGGGAAAGCGACAGAGGTGAAAGCAAGTGTTTCTTGCAGGGCAAGAAGCAAACAAACACGTGAGGGATTGCTGCCTTTGCTGTGTTTGCTGTTACCCTCCTGCTTCATACAGCTAAAAGTAACCCCTGTCTCACTGGGTGCCCGGAGATGTTCATATGCAGCTCTGGGAAATCCCCAAAGCTCACATCAGGATTGCGAGGGCAGGAAGGTGAGGGCCCTCTGGAGTGTATAGATCTTGAGTCTGTGCAGACACATGAGAAAATGTGCTCTGAGTCCCGAGCTGAGAACTCCTGCGGCCACCAGTGGAGCAGGACCCAGACCTTGTGACGAAGAGGAGGTCCAGAGAGCTAACCCCCTGGTCTGCTGCAGGGCTCCAGGGGCTGGAGAGGGGCTGGAGAGAGGAAAGCAGAAGGGGCTGGAACTCCAGGGGCAGTCACTAGCATTTGAAGCAGACGTTGGCACTCTTGACAGTACAGAAAGCTGCCGGCTTCCAGCCATGCACTCCCCAAGTTCAAGGGCTGTGATCCTTCACAAAGGCTCCTGGCTGGCAGCAGATGGGCAGCTGAAGCTTCTCGCCGTGACTTTTCTGTCCTTCAGGCTCGCCTTGGTGGCTCTTCTCTGACAGATGTCAGCAAGCTGCTGTTTGTTTGTTTGGTTTGGCTGCTCCAGTTTTGGGTGGGTCGTGACTTCCTATCAAAGGTGTCTTAACACGCTCAGCCATCTTCCAGGTTTTTGGAATACCCAGCTGAAAACAAAAACTCTTGTGTCTCTGTGGATTGCAGAGCCCAAAGCACAGGCTTTCTACACGCCAAGAGAAGAATCCAATCTGCTTATAACTAGTGATAAAAGAAAATTCCCTCAAGACAGAAATAAGCTATGAAAGTACAAGATCGTTACACGTTGCAAACTTTTCCTATGGCAACACCACAAAGATGTTAGAACTGGAAGCTGCGCTGAGGTTAATCAAGGGAACGTTATTGACTGTGGTGAAGGGTGCTGATTTACACCCACTGGTGATTTGACCCATTATCTTTAAGGTCCTAGTCCCCTGCACACCACCAAATGAGTGGGTGCTGATAAAGCTGTGGGGGCAGGCAGCCTTGCAGTCAGTAGGATTTGGCCAGACTCTGCTCGACAGAAACGTCCTCCTCCCAGAAAGAGACTCTAGTTTTATGACAGTCTTTTGTAGCATTCACTTCCCACTTTTTTCTCCTTTCACCAACGGGGTACAGCATGTCTGTGTAACTGAGTAGCTTTCCTGACTGGGGACTTGTCAATGTTTAAAAATCAAAAGCCTGTGAACAAACTCATTTTAATTTAATTTTTTTTTTTTTTTTTTTTGTACTATGCCAGAGTTCATCACAGAAAGAAGTAAACGCCTTAAATGTGAGTGGCTTGGTAATAACCCCAGCTAAGGCGAGTATCACACCCCACAATGAAAGAGAAAAGGGCTCTTAATTTCCCTTTATTTTCAGAGTACAACAGTAAAACATTTGCAGTGCTTTTGATTTCCCTCAAACACACAGAAAAGGAAAATTCATGGAAGTGTAAATGCTGAAAATATTAATGATAAAGATGAGTTACCAGCCTGGAACTGAAGTTACTAAACAAGACAGAAATCCTTGATAGTATCCACAGAAAAAAAGAAAAAATCAGCTAGGGAATGAGGTAGTATCTGGCAACTTCCAATTAAATATAAGAGGAATATGGTGACTGACTTAGGGCAACTGCTTAAAAGAAGCAAAGATACAAAAATTATACAGGTCATAAAACAGGTGTGAAATAAAATCAATTATTGCATTGCGACACTACTCACAGAAATAATATGATGGGTTTTTCATATTGTTCCCATAGGTCTACTTAATATTTTGGCATTAACTTTTGTCTGGGATGAAAAAATACTTTGCGCATTTTTCAAGTGGAAAGCGAGATTTTAAGTACTATAAAACCCAA